TATATTGTATATGTATGAAGCTCTCATCTAACAGTCATTCCTACAAAGTTAGATGTTAGAGAACCGAAAGCATGATTTATGCCTACCACAGGAAATAAAATTAATTCATGACTCAGAGCCCCATTTATACATCTACTGTGAAGGGTAAGCATTCTTGGGTAGGAAGGAGCCTTGACTTACATGTGATAGTACTAGAGGATATTGATGTAGTCAGAGCCCTTATTGAGAAATATACCCTGGGCCATTCTCTTGCACATAAAATTCACATTTCTTGCCCTGGCCAGTTTGGCTCAGCGGTTAGAGTATCGGCCTGTGGTTCGGAGAGACCTGGGTTTGGTTCCCACTAAGGGCATGTACCTTGGTTGCAGTTTGTCCCCGGCCCTGGTTGGGTCACGTCGATGTTTCTCTCTCTCTCTCCTTCCCACTCTATCTGAAACAAAAATGGGAAAAAAAAGTCTTTGGGTGAGGATAAAAATAAATAAATAAAAATTCACATTTCGTTTTCTCCCTGGATACTTGAGCCTTTAATGGGGACCAAACCTCTTAATAAAAGACAATATTGTGATAACTGTGTATGGTGCTAGGTAGTTCTAGATTTATTAGGGAGATCATTTAAGTTATATAAATGTCTAACTACTATGCTGTATACCTGAAACTAATATAATATTGAATTTAATGTAATTGAAAAATTAACAACAAAAACGATAATGGCCTTATGGGGTGGCTCAGTTGGTTGGATTGTCCTCCTGTGTACCAAAAAGTTGTGGGTTTGATCCCCATTTCCCTCTCACCTCTCTCTCTCTCTCTCTCTCTCTCTTTCCCTCACTTCCCCTCTCTCTAAATCAATGAACATATCCTTGGGTGAGGATAAAAAAATCATAAAAACAAGATAATGATTAACCTTGATAATAGACAACATAGTAAATTCTGCCCAGTTCTTCCCTGCTTTGGTCTTTAGCTATGATCTGTAGCATCCGGATCATACCTAACGTTTAGGAGGTAAGCCAAAGTTACATGGAACTGTCTTAAACCTCACTCTGTGCATTTCCTACTCATGGAGAGAGGAAATTATATGGTGCTGGGATTTGAGGGGGTCCAAGAAGCCCACTTCCTCCAAAGTTCTGACCCGCATTTATTAATTCCTGGAGTTCCCGCCTAGTTTCAGCATTTTCCTTGTTAAAAATAAAAATGTGTTACCTAGGGTGGGTGGGACCACAGACATATTAGTCTGCATCAGTTAATTACATTAGATGCATATTCCTCCAGCAGAATGCCCAGAGAGTAGACTCAGGGCATGTACATTTTGATAGAAAAGAGGCAGAGTTTCAGGGAGGACAGGCCCCAGCAGCATGTTACAGTGGAAGACCGAGGAGACCTAAACAGGCAATCCGAGAGTGCTGGGGGTCTCCAAAGCAGCGTCGGGCACCAAAGTCAGGCAAGGGGAGACAAAAGGGGGAACTTCGCCTGCTTAACTTGGTCCAGAACTGACTTATTTTTCCAACTGAATCTCTGAGAGCAGTGCTTCTCAAATGCAAATGTGCCTATGACTGGGATCTTGTTAAACTGCAGATTCAAATGCAGCAGGTCTCCAGTTGGATCTGAAATGCTGCAATTCTAACAAACTTTCAGGTGATGCCTGTGCAGCTGCTGAGGACCACAGCCTGAGAAACAAAAAATGAAAGGCTCTCAATTGGTGAAGTTGACCAACTGTCCCATTTTGCCTGGGACTGAAACGTTTCCTCGGTGCTAAAACTGGAAAAATCTCAGGCTGACCAGGGCAAGTTGGTTTCTCTATATTTGCCTAAGATTGCAAAATAATATAATATCAGCACATCAGTATATAAAAGCTTCCTTTAACCAGTACATTTGAGGAACTAGTTATACTAGTTAACAGGTTAACCAGGTTAAAGATTTTAATCTTCTAAAACATGTGCACCTCTTTCTCTCCTAATAAGATATTTTTACCCTCCCCATTAAGAATAGCGAAAACTTGGGGTAATTGAATGACATGAGATACAGAGGAGTAATTCTTGGATGGTTCAGAGTCTTGCAAGGCCTTAGGAGCTGTTACGCTGCCAGGGGTGGGGAACAGGCTGTATAAGGCCCATGAAATCAATACCAGCTAACATCACACGCCTCACCAAAGAGAAGCAGTTCCAGCCATCACATTAGGGGTGAGTTAATTAAATGTTTGACCAAATATAGCAGGCTAATTTTTAAGCTGATAATTTGTATGGCCTGTGAATGGTGTGATAAACATCCAAATGGCCCGTGGGAGAAAAAAGTTTCCCACCCCTGCAACAGATCACCTTATAGAAGGGATAGGAGACAGAACTGAGGCTGTTCCAAGCCGAGCCAGAACTTGAAAAGATGATTTTTTTTTTTAATCCTCACCTGAGGATATTTTTCCATTTATCTTCAGATAGAGTGGGAGGGAGGGAGAGAGAGAGAGAGAGAGAGAGAAAGAGAGTGGAAGAGAGAGAGAGAAACATCGATGTGAGAGAGACACATAAATTGGTTGTGTCCCACATGACCCCAACCAGGTCTGGGGACCAAACTGCAACTAACATACGTGCCCTTGACCAGAATCAAACCCGCAAGTCTTTGGTGCACAGGCAGACACTCTAACCACTGAGCCAAAATGGCCAGGGAGAAAAGATGATTTTTAATACAATCCCTGGTATTAGTGGCATCCTTGAGGTTTACCTGTTTCTCAGAAAAGCAGAGTGCAGAAATGAACAAGTACTATAATTTAGGACATGAGTTATTTGGGTTTGTTATTTCAGGTTATAACACATGACATACTGATATTATGAGAAACAAAAGGAATACTTTTTTTTTTTATCTTTACTCAAGGATATTTTTCCATTTTTTTGTTCAGATAGAGTGGGAGGGGGAGAGAAAAAGGGGGAGAGAGAGAGAAACATCGACGTGAAAGGGACACATCAAGTGGCTGCCTCCCGCATGACCCAACCAGGGCCGGGGACAAACTGCAACCGAGGTACGTGCCCTTAGCGGGAACCAAAATCGAGTCTCTCTGGACGTTCTAACCGCTGAGCCAAACCGGCCAGGGCCAAAAGGAATATTCTTAATGTCAGCTACCAGTGGTAGGATTTGGTCTTATAGGATAAAATACGGTGGTAGGAAATATCAATGTCAACTAAAATTGGCTGAGGAAAATGTCAGACTTAATTTAGAAACAAGGTTACTTTGAAAAAGAAAGGTGACGTCACCTCCAACCCAATCCAAGTTTTTCCTTTTCTTGGCAATTCCTATCACTTGTCATAACTCCCCTTATCCTTGTGACTCACAGTGCTACCAGGCAGTCCTGGAACTTCACCTGACAACCTGATATAAATACGGAAACACATCTAAGAGAGGGCACATATAAGACATCAATCAGTCTAACTAACTTTCTTTGTGTCAAGCTCTGTGCTATGGTATTTATATCAATGATGTCATTTAATTCTTACAGCTCTGCAAGGTCGTTATTATGACCCCCATCTTAGAGTGGAGCAAACTAAGACTGAAAGTGGTTAAGTAATTAGCCCAGGGTTAAAAGGCAAAACTGGTTTTGAAACCTGCTCTTGATGATCACTTTGCTATCCTAACATCTCTCCTTGGGACTCAGAACTCTGAAAAGACAACTATGGAATGCAGGATGGGGGGATTGACTCCCTATATTCATGCTGAAAAGCATAAATTCTTTAAGTCGAAGAATAAGGGAGGAAGCTGCGAAAGGAGCTTTCTCCCGTGTCCGCTGCAGTCAGTCTCCTGTGCTCTGCTTTGTACACACTTCAGTATCTCATTCGGGCTCAACTGTGCAAATGAAAGAGTGCCTCAGGTGTCCTGGGGGAATGCGAGGCAGACCTCTGTCCTCGTAAGGCATGTCAGAATTGCGAGGTGATTCCTCGCTAATGATTACTATTACAGGCTTACTAGTGTACAATCTGGACAGAGGTTTACCTGATTAAAAGACTACTTTTCAAAAAGTAAGAGTGCTACATGAAATTTAGGGAAGCGTACCTCAGGTGTGGGAAGTCGGACAGGACAGATGAGAACCATACAAGCAGATTTACGTAAGTTAACTGCCAACGTGCTGGTTCTCAAGTTGGATGGTGAGTTTATAGGTGTTCATTGTAATGTTAACTGACAAACAGATAAGTAAAAGCCACTTTGGGACATTAAATATCAGGGAGAAAAGGAAGAAAACAAAGTAGAAGACAGGAAAAGGAAGGCTCTGGTATCTGAAAAACGTGGATTCAAGTTTTTTACTGGTTGTGATTGGACCTCCACTTCATTTATTTATTTATTTATTTATCCTCACCCGAGGACACTTTTCTATTTTTGTAGAGTGGGAGGGAGGGAGAGAGAGAGAGAGAGAGAGAAAGAAATATCAATGTGAAAGGGACACATCGAGTGGCCACCTCCCGCACAACCCCAACAGGGGCCGGGGACAAACCACAACCGAGGTACGCGCCCCCAGCGGGAACCGAACCCAGTCTCTCTGGACCACCGGCCGATGCTCTAACCGCTGAGCCAAACCGGCCAGGGCTCCACTTCATTATTTATACAATGGAAATTGTCTTAGATTAAATCCTATGAAATTACTAATATTTCGTCTTTTTTGATCTACAACCTACATCTTAGGGTTGTTGTAAAGACAAAATGAGGAAAACTCCAGACCTAACAAGCATTAAGAGCTCACTAAATGTTGTCTGTTATTCTTCTCTTCAGTTCTTACAAATGCAAGTACTATGTTAATATTTATTCACATGAACCTACTTCTCTTTTCTCTAATAACTGCCCTCCTACGTCTACCAAAAGTGATGACGAATTCCAAAATCAGTCTTTGGATTATACATTACTACTGACTTGTGGAAGTTGTAAATTATATCTCATTTTTGCATTCTTATTAAAGCTAGGTACTATATTAAAAATATAGTCACGCACACACAGAGATATAATGGTATGTACTTCTATCCTTGTTCTTTCTTTAGCTGAGTTCCCGAAACCAAATATCACCGATGTTGGAAACCAATCTACTAACATCAGAAGGATAAATTGCTCAACCTCTGGAGGTTTTCCAAAGCCTCACCTCTTGTGGTTGGCAAATGGAAAAGAAGTAAATGCCATCAAAACAGCAATTTCCCAAGATCCTGCAACTGAACTCTACAGTATTAACAGTGTACTGGATTTCAATGTGACGAACAACCATAGCTTCATATGTGTTGTCAAGTATGGGAACGAAACAGTATCAAAGTCCTTCACCTGGCAAAAAAGTAAGTCACATCCTGGGGAGTTTCTACTGTGGAGAATCTAAAAGGAAAACAACTCGCCCTGGCCAGTTTGGCTGAGCGGTTAGAGTGTCGACCCGGGTTCGGTTCCCGCTAAGGGCGCGTACCTCGGTTGCAGTCCCCAGCCCTGGTTGGTCATGCGGGTGGCAGCCACTCGGTGTGTCCCTTCACGTCGATGTTTCTCTCTCTCTCTCCCTCCCACTCTATCTGTACAAAAAAAAAAAAGGAAAAATATCCTCGGGTGAGGATAAATAAATAAATAAATAAATAAAAATAAAAGGAAAACAACTCAGCCAGATACAGTTTAGAATTGTGCATATCAACTTTGACTGTACTTTTTGTAGTATTTTTAGACACCCAAATAAAATGCTATTGTGACTCATAAATTTATGTATGACAAATCCATAAAGGGCTGTTATAGAACTCAGGTACTTGAAATACATGTCTAACTTGTATGGCTGATTTTATGAAGAACCAACAGGCCTCTTCCCCACCCCCAGCTCCACTCCTAACAATATGTTTTGTGGCTACATAGTAATAAACAATATGCTGAGTTTTATATACAGTAATACATAAGAATAGAGTATAATATGTAACATATAGTATGTCTTATGTCTTTCTCTTATAGTAGAGGAGATATTTTAGATAGTCTAGTAGTCCATTCTAGTGAATGATTTACTCTAGATCTTTCCATCTTGAGGTGGATTCTTCAATTATTTTCCTCAGTAGATAATAAATTTCCCAGGGAAAATTAGTTCAAATATATAACAAATTTTGATGATTTTATTGATAGTCCAAACTCCTCTCTCTCAATCATCTTTATGTATTACAAAAATGTGTAAAAATGAGCCTGAATCATATAGTAAAGATTGTTTATTAATTCAGCATTCCTTTTCACTTAATTTATCATTATGTAAGCAATTTTAGATTATGACTGGGGTTGGGAGTAGCGCACAAATCAGTAATAGCAGCTTTAAACATATTTTATTTTGGACATTATTTACATTAGAAATATGGAATATATGGTGCTCTAGGACAGAGATTGGCAGAATTTTTCAGAAAAGGGCCAGACAGTAAATACTTTGGTTGTATAGGTCATATGGTCCCTTGCAACAATTCATTCCTGTTATTACAGCATTAAAGCAACCACAGATTAAGATATAAATGAAGAACATTGCTGTGTTCCAACAAAATTGTATTTAAAATACAGGTGATGGGCCCGGCTGGTATGGCTCAGTGGTTGAGCATCGACCCATGCACGAAGAGGTCACCAGTTGAATTCCCGATCAGGGCACATGCCCTGGTTGTGGGCCAAATCCTAGTGGGGGACATGCAGGAGGTGGCCAATCAATGTTCTCTCTCATCAGTGTTTCAATCTCTGTCTACCTCTTCCTTCCTCTTTCTCTAAAATCATTAAAGAAAAAAAATTTTCTTATAATTGGTGGTGGGCCACATTTGGCCTGTGCACTGTAGTTTGCTAACTTATAGGAAATAGAATGTAGCCCTTCAAAAAAAAGGTGCAGCTAGCCTAGCCCTTGGAGCTCAGGGGACTCCCATGGACTGAGAGGTCCCATGTTGTGGGCTCAATCCCCAGTAGGGGGCGTGCAGGAGGCAGCTGATCAATATTTCTCTCTCATCCATGTTTTTCTCTCTACCTTTCTCTCTCTAAAAAAAAAATCAATAAAAACAGATTTTTTTTTTTAAAAAGTGGAGCTATATTAAAAGATGACATTAGATTGCCTAGCTTTATCATCTTTTCCCTAATAGGCCTGCTTTCGATTTTTCCTTCATGCTAAAGACAAGCAGAATCCCTTTTCAGTCTAATTCAAAATATGAGCTCTTAGCCCTATTTGGTCTATATTCATAAGTAATTAATGAAGAGATAATTAAGTATATGTTTATTCATTCCTTTTTCTTTTTTTTTTTTTTATCCTCACCCGAGGACATTTTTCCATTTTTTTTGTTGTTGTTGTTGTTCAGGTAGAGTGGGAGGGAGAGAGAGGAACAGAGAGAGAGAGAGAAACATCGATGTGAAGGGACACATCGAGTGGCTGCCTCCCGCACGACCAACCAGAGCCGGGGACAAACTGCAACCGAGGAACGTGCCCTTAGCGAGAACTGAACCCGGTCTCTCCGGACCGCAGGCCGACGCTCTAACCGCTGAGCCAAACCGGCCAGGGCTATTCTTTCCTTTATTCAATCTTTTTTTTGAATCCTCACCCAAAGAAACTTTTTCCCCCATTTATCTTCAGATAGAGTGGGGGAGAGAAAGAGAGAGGAACATCGATGTAAGAGAGACACATCGACTGGTTGCCTCCCAAATGACCCGGACCAGGGCTGGGGACCAAACCCCAACTGAGGTATGTGCCCTTGACCAGAATCAAACCTGTGACTCTTTAGTCCAGGGGCCGACGCTCTGACTACTGAGCCAAACTGGCCAGGTTCCTTCATTCAATCTTTAAGTAGTTATCACATAGCAAGCATCTCACTAGATACTAGTGCTGTCTATGGTCAGAGAGCTTTAGTGTATAAATAGTTCAAATCTCATTGATCGGACTAAAGACATCATTTAAAGTAAAAGCAAATAGTGCATTTGTGGGTGATCAAGGACTAACTGCATAAGCAAACATGACTTAGGTGTCTAGTTCATAGAAATGTTACAAGTCAATGTGAGTAAAGCTTGACTATGTAAATACTCACCCCAAAATTTATTAAATAAATCAGGTCTATGATTCTTTTAGTTTGGGCTTGCCAAATTTGTTAATCCTTGATGTACTGGAAAACGTGTGTGTGTGTGTGTGTGTGTAATAAATCAGGGAGTCCTACTTATGGTGTCTAATAAGCTATATGTGCAGATGTACTCATATACAGTGATACCTCGGTTCTCGAACATAATTCGTTCCAGGAGGACGGTCGAGAACCAAATTGTTCGAGAACCGAAGCAATGAAACCCAATAGGAAATAATGGAAACTGGATTAATTCGTTCCAAGCCCCAGAAAATGCCTATTTACTGGCCTAATTTGTATATAATATGTAGAAAAACATAAGTCTCAACAAGAAATAAAAGTGTACAGTATGTCTAAGGGTTAAATCCAGTGTAAAGCGTGACTCTCTCCACAAAGCGTCACTCTCTCTCTGCACTCACACTGATGACGCAAGCAAGGCGCGCTGGGCCGAATGAACGCCATTCGGCTCAACTCGGCTCATCTCGGAAGTTCGAGTTCCAAATATTTGTTCGGATTCCAAGACAAAAGTTTCTTGAATCTCCTGGTCGAATACCGATTTGGTCGAATACCAAGGCGTTCGAGAACCGAGGTATCACTGTAACTGTGCGCTTGGATTCTGGGTCTGTTCTGTGGCGTATTTATTACTAGGTTCCGAATAGGCATTATGACAGACCAGTTTGCTATTACCGGTCCCTCTTCCTTTCTCTTAAACACACATCCTTTTTCTAGGCTGAGGGAGGCTTAAGGATGGATGGGAATGGCCTCTCAGAGGAAGCCCGGAGTGAGTCAGAACCTGTGAAACTTTTAGACTCTCAAGAAAACAGCAAGAGTTTCTTTGTTATTTTGATTGTCATTCTGATCTATAGAGGCTAATCACTTGATGTCTCCATGTAATCTGGTGCTTTAGAGAAAAAAAACTTTCCCTAATCTTTAAGGGGTGGGTGCACTGTGATCAAGTGTGCATTTTAGAATGGATATATACCAGTGTATGGGAATTAGTAGAGTCCAGGAAACCAGAGATCAGTATGGAGGTTACTAGGTAGAAGATGAGAAAAACCTGAACTAAAGCAGTCTCTGCAAGAGATTTAGGGGAAAGGATTCAATTGCTGAGATATTCTGAATATAGAATAAAAAGTCCGTGGGAGCCTACTGGGCACAAACACAAGCCTTCACTCTTATTTGGGTAACTAATGGTGTTGCCATTCACTGAAATATGAGAATATAAGTGTTAAATATGCTTTGGAAAGATTATAGTGAATTAAATTTTAGTCAAGTGGAGATGCTGGCATCCAGCCATCTAGTCAACACCTAGATATACAAATCTGGAGCTCAGAAATGAGATCAGAAATATACAGGTTTAGGAACCAGACAGTGTTTCAAACCTTGGGTGTGGATGAGACCACCCAGGAGGGCTGGGGTCAGTGAGAGAAGAATGGGATCACAAATGGAACATGGGTGACAACAAGATTTAAAGGACAAAACAAGGACGAAGAGCTTACAAAGAAAACCGAGTCACCACCAACAGAAACAGAAGAATGTGTCATGGAAATCCAAGACGGAAAAGGTTGCAACTTTCAAAATGTATCCACAATTCTTGGTAATCAGAAAAATGAGAAACAGTAAGTTAGTAAATGTTCAATATAAGCTATTACTGAGAAATCAGAAGAGGATGAGCTACTAATATTTCTTTTCATTTGTGTTCTTGCCCTTTTTCCAGATGTTGTTCCTCAACGGGCTTAAAGAATAAATAGTGTAGCAGTTGCTTCTGAGCAAGAGGGACCACATACACCTTTCTTGTCCCCACCTACATCCTTCCTTGTGTCCCTGTGTTCTGTCTGTTCCCTATGTTCTGCAGCTGATAACCAGTTTGTAGGGCTCTCCTCCAGGTGGTCCCACCTAATACCAAGCCACATTCACTCTTAGTTCTTTGCAGGGCCTCTTCTAACATCCCAGAAACTCTCAAGGCTGGGTGGTGAAAATTGTATATCTGAAAATGAATGCAAAGTGGCTTCTGTAGCTTTAGGCAGTTACTGTGAGGGTGTGTGTGTGTGTGTGTGTGTGTGTGTGTGTGTGTTGAGAACATACTAAGAGAGCCCTGGCTGGTTTGGCTCAGCGGTTAGAGCGTCAGTCCGTGGACCAGAGAGTCCCAGATTTGGTTCCCGCTAGGGGCATATGCCTCCGTTGCAGTTTGTCCCCAGCCCCAGTTGCAGTAGTGTGGGAAGCGACCAGTCGATATCCCTCTCACATCGATGTTTCTCTCTCTCTCTCTTCCTTCCTCTCTCCCTCCCACTCTATCTAAAGATAAATGGAGAGAGAGAGAGAGAGAGAGAGAGAGAGAGAGAGAGAGAGAGAGAATACTAAGAGAAAAAGAGCCCTGGCCGGTTTGGCTCAGCGGTTAGAGCGTCGGCCTGCGGTCCAGAGAGACCCAGGTTTGGTTCCTGCTAAGGGCACGTACCTTGGTTGCAGTTTGTCCCCAGCCCTGGTTGGTCGTGTGGGTGGCAGCCACTCGATATATCCCTTTCACATCGATGTTTCTCTTCCTTTCTCTCCCTCCCACTCTATCTGAACAAACAAATGAAAAATGTCCTCGGGTGAGGATAAAAAAAAAGAGAGAGAGAGAGAGAGAGAAAGAGAAGGCATGACAGAGTTGGATAAGGAAAAATAAGACACATCTAGAACATGACATCAACTAATTATTAGTAGCAATACATAGTAATATCAGCCATAAATGAGATACAAAAACAAGATGGCTTTTAAAGTATCTCCTTAGAGTCTTTTTTATGCCAACTTAACTCAGTAAATGCAAAAGTTCAAATTTATTTTTCACATTTAATATCTGACATCTGGATATTGATTGTCCACAAGTAGGTATCTGATTGACAACTTATGCAAGAAAATGCTATCAGCTGCATATTGGAGCACTGACCAGGCAAACAAGTGAAAAATATTCTTTATAGTTGTGTCAAAGTCAGAGGCACACAATGGCTGTCAGGCAGTTGGAAACACATTTGAGCTAACACTATTCTTTTTCCTCCACAGGTGAAATACCACATGCTCCCGTTTCTTACCAGCCCCCCAGCTTGTACTTATTATTGTGTCTGTTTGTTCCTGTTTTTGTAATCTCATGGTGCCTACTGAAGAGTAAGTAGTATCATACTATCATCCTGGAAACCCAAATGGTTTAGCATCTCTCTGAGATTTTAGGCTATTCTCATTTTTGGAAAGTCTATATAAATGTCAAGTGTCTTCTTTCGTTGGCTCAGCAAGTTCTATTCATTCACTAGACAAACAAACATTTCTTGAACACCTACTATGTGCCTGGAACTCTACTAGGCAATGGAGTTACAACAATAAGAAATCACTGCCCTCAAGACACTAAATTCTAATTTTCCGCCTAACTTTATAATATTTTCTGGGAGTCACTGAGGTTTGCTAACTAATATAAAAAAATTTCTGATGCATTGTGATATTCTAATCTTTTGTTTGGAATTTAAGAAAAGTCATACATGACAAGATTTTGGAGGCAAGAATCATTTCCTGAAGGGGAGGGTAAGATGCACTAATGAAGTTGAGACACTACTGGTGATTTTATCAGTTCTCAATTCTACAGAATACATTTTTGGATGAAAGATCAGGAGTGGTTGAAGAAAGAAGATATATCTAGGATATTTTTCCTTACGAAGTTAGAAGTGTGGTTTTACATATATGCTACCCTCAATCTCTAATTAAGTAAAGAGGAACTGCTAGGCCAGAGCTTCGGCCAAAGTCACCATGAAGGAGTACACTTTCTTGGAGTAGAAATCATGTACACTGAGAGGGGCAAAGGGGGAAACCTACATCTGCTGATTTCCCCAACCTTCAGCACGAAAAATTTCAAAGGTCGAGGAAATCACTGGAGACTCTTTGCTATGAATAACTCAACCCATGGACAGGATGAAAAAGGTCTGGTGGCTCAAGGATGTTTCTGATACAGACTGCCCAGCCTTACCTCTCTAGGTCAGGTTTCCTATCCTTCATGCTATGGACATTTGGGGCTGAATAGTTATTTGTTTCAGGGTGCTATTCTGTGCATTGTAGCATGTTTAGCAGCATCCCTAGCTCTACTCACTTTACATAATAGCACCTCTTCCCCCAGTAGTGATGACCAAAAATGTCTCCAAGCATTGCAAAGGGGGGGTGGAAATCACCCCCGTTTAAGAACCACTGCTCTCATTCTAAGCCAATCTGAAGTCTTGCTGAAATATATCGGCATAGTTTATTTTATTTTATTTTATTTATTTATTTATTTATTTATTTATTTATTTATTTATTTATTTATTTTTATCCTCACCAGAGGATATTTTTCCATTTTTTGTACAGATAGAGTGGGAGGGAGAGAGAGGAAGGGAGAGAGAGAGAGAGAAACATCAATGTGAAGGGACACATCGAGTGGCTGCCACCAGCACGACCAACCAGGGCCGGGGACAAACTGCAACCGAAGCACGTCCCCTTAGCGGGAACCGAACCTGGGTCTCTCTGGACTGCAGGCCGACGCTCTAACCGCTGAGCCAAACTGGCCAGGGCTATATCGGCATAGTTTAAAGGAAACACACCTATCTAAATTTTAATTTTTGTGTTTATCTTTAAGGATTTTCTGCAAGACAGAGAGAGAGGAGGAGGAGGAATGATGTGGAGAGCATAGAAATGGAAAGGACCTCCTCTATCTACTCAGGAACTGCAGAACCATCAGGCTGAACAGAACATCTAAAGGTAGCTCCCTTTAGCTCTTCTCTACCAGTGTGGGACATAGGAGATCTTGGGCATCAGTTCTTCCACCTCACCTCACCTCAAAAAACCTCATTCAGATTACTCTAAGCAGATTATTGGCATTTCTTTGCCTCTCTCTCCATATACAATTTGCTTATTGTAACTTCCTTTGGTGTTTCATTCTGCACTCTTGTCAATTCGATGTCTTTCATTATCAACAAAACACTATTCCTAATCTAACTCCTTATTCTGATCATCTCTTTTTCCCTGTATCCCTCAGTATGGATGGACTCAGATCCATGTCATTTATGAGTCACTCTGTATTAACTCAGCAACATCTCATTGTTCTCTCTGCCTAGAGTCATCCTACTGACCCAATTACAGAGCCAAATTTCATAATTATTTTCCTACTGTAAAACTCAGAAGAGCCCTCAGTGCCTATAGAAAAACCTTCAAAACTTTTACCTCTCCGCATTCCAGTTGATCTCTTCAGTCTAAACATTCGCAGTTCTTTCCATTGTTCTTCAAATAGAAGTTTCCAGAAGCTTCAGGTGAAAACGCTAGATGTCAATAAATGGAATCCAAGACTTTAGATTTGGTCTGACTGATTCTACATACAATGGGATAATTACTGTCTGGGGTCTGGAATGTTCTTTCTGTTAAAGGGGTCTAACATAGCATCAGCTTTTGTGAGTCACTCTGTTAACACCTCAATTTTCTGTTATCCTACAATCCCCAGGTCTTTTCACATAAGAGAAACATTGGAACGTTGGAATCCAAGAGACTGATATCAGATCCATGGTGGTTTATAGCCTCTATAAATTCAGTTTTGACTTGCAAAGGTTAAGAAATGAGAGTCAGCAGAGTTATCTTTAAAAATAATGGTTGGAGGTGAGTGGTCACAACCAGTCCTTGCAAATGATTGTCCTGGGGGTAAATCCCTCCCATTGATATGCCAACAGCAAGTAAGACTGAACTACAAGAGGAGGATGCACAGAGCCCACACAGGGTAGGGGGTGGTGCATCTCAAGGGTCCAGCTTGGGTGATTGAGGAGGCTGTGCCACAGGAGCCTACAGGACACCTACTACATTAGACTACTCTACCAAGCCCAGGAGAGGTAGCAGCTCTACCTAATTCATAGAAACAAACACAGGGAGGCTGCCAAGATGAGGAGATAAAGAAACATGTCCCAAATGAAAGAACATAACAAAACTCCAGAAAAAAAAACTAAACAAAATGAAGATCAGCAATCCAACAGATGCAGACTTCAGAACACTGACTATGTGGATGCTCAATGAACTTAGTGAGCACTTCAACAGAATAAAAAGAACCAGGCAGAAATGAAGGACACACTAATTAAAAGGAATAATTTACAGGGAATCAACAGTAGAATAGATGAAGCTGAGAACCAAATCAGTGATTTGGAATATAAGGAAGTGAAAAACATCCATTCAGACCAGCACAAAGAAAAAAGAAATGAAGATAGTGTAAGAAGCCTCTGGGACAACTTCAAGTGTACCAACATTCACATCGGTGGGTACTGGAAGGAGAATAGAGAAAGCAAGAAATTAAAAAATTATTTGAATAAATAATGACAGAAAACTTCCCTTACCTGGTGAAGGAAACAGACATACAAGTCCAGGAAGCACAAAGAGTCCCAAACAAGATGAACTTAAAGAGACCCACACCAAGATACATCATAATTAAAATGCAAAAGGTTAAAGACAAAAAGAGAATCTAAAAGCAGCAAGAGAAAGACAATTACCTATAAGGAAGTTCCCATAAGACTGTCAACTGATTTGTCAACAGAAACTTTGCAGGCCAGAAGGGATTGGCAAGAAATATTCAAAGTGATAAAAAGCAAGGACGTACAACCAACATTACTCTACCCAGCAAAGCTATTGTTTAGAATCAAAGGACAGATAAAGAGCTTTCCAGACAAGAAAAAGCTAAAGGAGTTCATCGCCGCCAAACTAGTATTATATGAAATGTTAAAGGGCCTTCTTTAAGAACAAGAGGGGAAAAAAAGGATAAAAAACATGACAATAAATATATATCTACCAACAACTGTATCTCAAAAAAATAAACAAAAACAGAAACACTCATAGATACAGAGAACATGTTGACAGTTGCCAGATGGGAGGGGTGGGCAGGAATTGGGAGGATGGGTGATAAAGGTGAAGGGATTGGGAAGTACACATTGGTTGTTACAGAATAATCATGAGAAAGTAAAGTACAGCATAGGGAATATAGTAAAAAATATTCTAATAACTACACATGATATCAGGTATTAGGATGATCACTTGAAACTAATATAACAATGTCTGTCAACTGTCATTGAAAAATAAAAATGATGATACAATATACAGATCACGTATTATAGAGTTGTGCATTTTTAAAAAATCTTTATTGTTGAATGTAGAATGTATTACAGATGTTCCACATTTTTCCCCCATTGACCCCCTCCTCCCCACTCCCGCCCCGCTCCCGCCTTTTCCCACACTATTGTCTGTGTCCATGGGTTATGCCTATAAGTTCTTTGGTTTATTTCTTCCCACCCCCCAACCCCTTTACCTTTGAGGTTTGTCAGTCTAGCAATGAATTTGTACTTCTTAACCCCTTCACCTTTTTCACCCATTCTCCCAAACCCCTCCCATCTGGCAACCAACAAAATGTTCTCTGTATCTATGAGAGTGTTTCTGATCCTGTTCATTTTGATTGTAGATTCCATTGTTGATAGATATGTACTCATTGCCATTTTGTTTGTTCATATATTTTATTTTTTTCTTCAAAAAGACCCTTCATCATTTCATATAATAACGGTTTGGTGGTGATGAACTCCTTTAACTTTTTCTTGTCTGGGAAAGTCTTTATATGGCCATCGATTCTAAATGACAGCTTTGCAGGATAGAGTAATCTTGGTTGTAGGTTCTTGGTTTTCATCACTCTGAATATTTCTTGCGACTCCCTTCTGGCCTGCAAAGTTTCTTTTGAGCAATCAGCTGACAGCCTTATGGGAACTCCCTTGTAGGTAACTAGCTGCCTTTCTCTTGCTGCTTTTAAGAGTCTCACTTTGTCTTGAAGCTTTTGCATTTTGATGATGATGTGTCTTGATGTGGGCCTCTTGGGGTTCATCTTGTTTGGGACTCTCTGTGCTTCCTGGACTTGTATGTCCGTTTCCTTCACCAAGTTAGGAAAGTTTTCTGACATTATTGTTTCAAACAGGTTTTCGATTTCTTGTTCTCTTCGCCTTCTGGCACCCCCAAAATGCGAATGTTGGCACACTTGAAGTTGTCCCAGAAGCTCCTTACACTATCCTCATTTTTTTTGGATTCTTTTTTCTTTTTGCTGTTCTGATTGGGCGTTTTTTGCTTCCTTATATTCCAAATCGATGGTTTGCTTCTTGGATTTACGTACTCTACTGTTGATTCTGTGTAAATTATTCTTTATTTCAGTTAATGCCTCCTTTAATTCTGACTGGTCCTTTTTTATGCTCTTGAGGCCCTCACTAAGTTCACTGAGGTTCTCACTAAGTTCATTGAGCATCCTTATAAGCAGTATTTTTTTTTTTTATCCTCACCCGAGGACATTTTTCCATTTTTTGTTCAGGTAGAGTGGGAGGGAGAGAGAGGAACAGAGAGAGAGAGAGAGAGAAACATCGACGTGAAAGGGACACATCGAGTGGCTGCCACCCGCACAACCAACCTGGGCCGGGGACAAACTGCAACCGAGGTACGCGCCCTTAGCGGGAACCGAACCCAGGTCTCTCAGGACCGCAGGCCGACGCTCTAACCGCTGAGCCAAACCGGCCAGGGCATAAGCAGTATTTTGAACTCAGTATCTGTTAGGTTGTTTATCTCCATTTTGCTTAGTTTTTTTATTGGGGTTTTGTTCTGTCTTTTAATTTGGGACCTGTTTTTTTGTCTCCTCATTTTGGCTGCCTCCCTGTGTTTGTTTCTGAGTATTACTTAACGAGCGATATGGGGCAAACTGAGACCAGATGCTGCTTGTTTGAAAGAATTTAGGAAAACCTGAAGCAGGATCCAAGACAGGCCAATCCTATGGTTAAGCAAGGGGAAATAGCTTGGGTGGGCCTGAAAGTTGGGTGGGGCAGGGCCTCAGGGAGTCACCAGGGCGGGGCTACCAGTGTGAGCCAGGTTGCTGGAGTTGCAGATATGGTGGCTATCTGCCACCCCAGGGAAGGGCTCACCAAAGGAGCAAAGGCCTCTGACAGCACGTTTGTCCTGGAGAAAGCCCCCTCTCCAGCCCTCGCTCCAGTGCCAAACAGCTCAGTTCTTCCCTGTATGACTCTGGTGCCCCTCGACCTGCCTCCCCTCCAAGCTTAGAGGGAGAGAGTCCGATAAGTCTGTGCGCGGGCCCTTTAGGGAGCTGCCTGGGGCTCCAGCCGCGTCAACCTCCCTGAGCCTCAGTTCCCGCTGGTTTTTCCAGCCAGAAGTTATAGGAACTTCTCTTCCTGGCACTGGAACCCTGAGCGGGGCACCTGGTGTGGGACAGGGACCCCTCAGTCCTCAGGAAGGACCTGCCCAAGCCGAGGTGTCCTCCTGATTTTTATCCGCCACACTTGGGTGTGGGACCAGCCTGTCTCGCCACTGGCCCTCACACCTCCGCCCCTCCCACCAGTCTGGATGTGGCTGCTTCTTTAATTCTGTAGTTGTAGGACTTCCATTCAGCTTGATTTCAGGCGGTTTTGAATGATGGTTGTTCTGTAGTTTAGTTGTAACTTTGATGTGGTTGTGGGAGGACGCAATACCGCGTTTACCTACGCCGCCATCTTGACCGGAAGAGTTGTACATCTTAAAACTATATAATTTATTAACCAAACTAACCCCAGTAAATACAATTTTAAAAAGAAAACGAAAGCCCTGGCTGATTTGGCTTAGCAGTTAGAATGTTGGCCCAAGGACCAAGGGGTCACGGATTTGATACCCAGTCAAGGGCATGTACCTGGGTTGTAGGTTCAGTCCCCGGACCTGGTACAGGA